ACCGTTGGTTCGATTTTCCTTCCCTTTCCAGCCTTCCGGTGTGCAGCATAGCTTTAGTTCCATGAAAGGAGTTGCCACATGTTAGAAAATCGAATTCAAAATTTCTCTGCTGCAGAGGGTTGCGTTAAATATTTAACACAGAGTCATAAAATCTGTATCGTTCGTGCGATTTTAAAAGATAAGGTGTCAAATAAAAGGGCTTGACCTGTAGATGTGTAATATGATTTTAGTTTTTTAAAGGGTTGCCATATATACGAAAATCTAATTCAAATTATTTATTAAAAAAAATAAAGTATCCCAATATGGGTATAAAAAAATGGTTTTGAATAAAGATGAAGATGAAGATGAAGATGAAGATGAAGATGAAATATTTATGGTCCGATTTGGTTCGAATTTGGCGTAAGTAGTTGAAACATAATAAATCATACACGGTTAAAAATTTCGGTTTTAATTTTAAACTTTTTGGACTACATATATGACCAAACTAAATTTAGTTTCAAATACAAACCTTCCAAGTTTAAAAAAAGAGAGCACATATGTTGGGTTTAGAATTTATACAGTTCGGTTTAAATTTTAAACCCAAACATTTTCTCTTTCGTTTGCTTCACGTTACACTTCACGAAAGCTTTTTCATAATAAGGGTTGTAAAAGAAAATTGAAACAAGTTGCGTTCATTCAAAAAACTCTAACAACAACTGGAATTACTCCAAATCGTATTAAAACAAGTTTAATGAAAAGAGCCATCAATAATCTTCTCCACTACTTTCACTACTGTTGCCATTCGGTAGGGTGGAAAGTGTTCCCTCCATAATTTAAGTACGTTCTGGACATCGGTCTCTAGGCCAACCTGCCCTGGTCTTGAAACCTTCAGTAAGTTTCCTTTTTAAATGTCTAATCAAATTTTCGGTCGTTTTTTCTGTCGGCCGGTATTTCAATCTCTTCGCACTCACGTATATCGCCCTTAATTAGGCGCATTAAGAAAATCACACAATTAGTCGCATGGGGTGACTAATAAAAGTGACCCCAATAAAAGTGTTGAAAAAAAAATTCAAAATAGAAAAAACGAAGTGTGTATTAGTAAAAATATTAAAGTACTCTATTATCGGTAAATTAAAAAACAAAAATATAATTTCGACTTCAAACTTAAAAAAACAATTAAAAACTTACCTCCGCCAAAAAAATGTTACGTTAGTGGTCGCATGGGGTTGCGAGTATGGTCTAGCCGTGACTAAATAAATAAAATGAAATGTGTTGTCATAAATATTAAAGCTCTTTATTGTAGTTAACTTTAAGAAAGAAAAGCACAACTTTTAATTCAAACATAGATACAAGAATAAAAACTCTCCTCTGCTGAAAAATGTTACGTAAATGGTCGCATGGGGTTAGGACTTAAGGGAGTAGCGACACATGTGTACACGCTAGGGATGTTAATTTTTCGGCTTTTTCCCATCCCGGGATTTTCGGGATGGCGTTGTCACAATCCCGGGATCTCGGGATTAGTCCCGGTATTTAGATATTCATTATTTTTCAACAACTTGAATCGAAAAAATTGCTTCTATATTGTTTGAGAAGCTCTCCTGCCATGAAATAAATAATAATAAATGGGTTCGAAACCTACTTTTTTATTTAAAGTGGCGTTAATTATTGGCAGGATTTATTTTGAAGGACTTTCCAATTTCAAAGGGATGATTAATTCCAAAAATTGTTAAAACAAATTCAATGCAACGTAGAATAAAAATATGGGTAACAAATGCAATATGAAATTTCTTTAGATTTTAAAAATTAAAATTTTTTGGATTGACAAGGACGAATAGGCAGATTTACAAAATTTTAATGATGGAAAAACGTTTTATATCCAAATCCCAATGGATAATAACATGTTTTTCCAGTAAGCCTAGCATCTTTGCTGGTGGCGTTTACACCTTTTTCGACAAATGAATGTAATAAATATAACAATAAGGTTTCTTTGATTGTTCATCATAGGTCATTTTTAAAAAATTGGAGAAATGCTTTTGAATAGTATCCAATATGAAGCTTGGCAGTGAAGAGAACAGGCGCAGTTGAAAATTTGGGGAATAAAAAAACAAAATTGATATTAACACAGCTGCTTCACTTAAAACGTTTATCCTCATTACCGTTTCTGGTAATTTTTTTTAATACCCCTTTCCCATTTCTTCCTGAATATTCTTCCCCACTATTTATTAGCGTCTTATTTTTTATAACATTCCAATTTTCGAAATGTACTTTACGTTTTTTACAATTACTGCACCTTTGCATTACGCTTGTTAATTCTAAATTGGCCATGGTCACCTGCATTTAAAGCGTTTTTCCACTCACTACTTAATTTGGAGCGTAGGTTAATGTCCGAAAACTGATGGAAATTGAGAAATTTCGCGAACTTATGATACACGAGAGTATTTTTAACGGTAATCTGCGAAAAAACTTTTGAGTAAATTGGCGCTTACAACGTTATTCGCGGCGACCATTCAAATATTGCGTAATTTCAAGGATAAAATTTTAAAATGACATATTCAATATTTACCAGCCCTTCTGCACCAGAAGCTTGAGTCTGTTTAAATTCTACAGGATTTCCGCATTAATTTTATACCCATACTTCTTCTCTAAGCACATTTCTCTGCATTTTTTAAATCATTTTTAAATTACTGACGTCAGAGTGAAAAACTAAAAACGCAATTTTACTATACTTGGCCCATGGTTTCGCGAATGTATTGATATTTGGGTTTAGAATTTACTGTCGCGCGGTGTTATATGTGTAATGAGCTAGACATTTATAAAAAAGTACTAATTATTAAATAAAAAGAGAAATATAGAAATATAGCCAATACTGGTCAAGAAAAGGAGTTTCTATTATTGCCATCAGTGCAAATTAAAAATCCCAAAGATCCCGGGATTACTTGCCAAGAATCCCGCGATTTTGGAGACCTTAAAAAGTCCGTGATCCCGGGATTAACATTCCTAGTACACGCCAATGATCTGGCCTTGACTAATTTACGCACCCCGCCCGGAATAACGTAGCAAGAAAGAACGCGAGCGCGCTCCAAGCACTCGAAGGCATGATTTTTTTTTACTTGAAATTCTCTTGACCCCATGCGCCTAATTAAGGGTTAATGCGGCAAATACGTCTCGCTTCCCTCTTTTCCTATAACGGTCCACATGGCTCACGTTGCGCCCGATCGCAGCGTGGCCCCTTAGGCGGCATCTTTTTTCTCTGCAACTTCTTGACACTCCTCATCGTACCAGTTGTTCTTTCGGGCTAGCTGAAATCCGACTACTTTTTCGGCGGCGGTACTTAATGAGCGGGAAATTTGGTTCCACTGCTCGCGAATGTCGGTTTGTTGAAGAGTGCTCTCAGAGAGCCGAGTGGCGAATAAATTCGCCGTATGTTGTGATTGCAGCTTTTCGACGTTTAGCTTTCATTGCATTTTTGGGCACACATTTTTTACTGCACAGAGGCTGGTGCGTATTGTGGCTGCAACGAGATAGCGCTCCTAGTCGATGTTTGGGCTTCGGAGTGAGCGTACGTCCAAAATACTGGAAACGTGCTTTCCATCTTTCACAACATGATCGATTTGGTTTCTCGTTTTTCGATAGGGAGGAAACTACGTAGCATGATGGACCTTTTGTTGTAGGAACATCCCTTCCTCGCCAATCACGATTTTGAGATCATGGCGCGGGCAGCGGTATTTGCGCTCGAAGCGCTCATAGAAGCTATCCTTGACCACTTCGTCCTTCTCTTTCGTCGGGGCGTGGGCTCAAATCAGCGAGATGTTGAAGAATCTTCCTTTGATGCGGATTGTGGCGAGACGTTCGTTAACCGGGGTGAATGACAGTACTCGGCGACGGCGAAATCCAACACCGACTTTGAGCTTCTTTACATGGCAGCTGTAGTAGACGTGGCAAAGCCCTAGACATTTCTTGCCTTGTCCCGGCCAATGCATTTCTTGGATGGCGGTGATGTCAGCTTTTGTCCTTACGAGGACATCAACCAGCCGGGCAGAGGCACCTTGCCCATTAAGAGTCCGGACATTCCAGGTCTATGCCCTCAAATCGTGGTCCTTTAAACGTTTGCCGTGGTCGTCTTGAAAGGGGGGTTCCCATCCGAGGCTTTGTTTTCTTTTTCATTGGAGCCTGTTTCTACGCGGCGGGTCCCAAACCCAGCGAACAACCCATTGCATCCGCTTGCAGCCGCACCTACTGATGAACAGAGGCTGCAGACTTCAGTGAGCCCTTAAACCGAATAAGTTGGAGTGGCCCCCTCTCTTTCTGCCGTGAACCAAGGCTCCACTCGGATTGGTTACCGCATCTCGGACATGGGTTGCTCATGTTTACCAGAATTCGCAAACGAGGACGCAAGAGTCGGGATTAGGTATAACCATGCAACTTTAACTGCATACCCAGCACAACCCAGACTGATAGAATACAAGATTGCTGATTGATGTGAAGTTCGGGAAAGTAACTTAAATTTGACGTCATCGCAGATTTTCCGTATATGTATATTACACAGGCAATGTATGACGTCACACTTCTGTCAAAATTTTCAAGAGAGTTAGCGGTATCACAATCAGCTCCACCTTCTGTATTCGTTTGCCCATGCAGGCCAACGGCTATACTCCATTGCTGGCGGTAACGGTGAGCTTTAAAACGATATAGAAATAGAGCGGCTTATTAAAATACAGCGTTGCAGAAGGACTTGGATCAATTGACATTTCTAACTGGCGTCAGTTGGCGCAGAATAGAAACAACTGGAAGAACCGCCTTTTTCATGCAATTTCATGATTCGCCAAAGGAAGTAAGACATTTCCCTAATACTCAATTAGTTAGTTTTTATCACTCTCATATGCGACATAAGAATCAATGATAAATCAACTTTTTTTAATGAAATTCCCTCAATCATCTAAAAATTTCAATATCCTTGCAAATTTCATTAAAGAATAATTTTCATTTATTTTTGCTTTCATTTTACACTTTCCTCTTCACAGCGTTTTAAGGAGAATGATATCGAAGTGAAACGAAAGGATGGCATCATATTGCTGCGCGAATTGGCAGCCGAGGTTAAGAATTTCATGGATTTCAAGCGCAATGCTGTGATGGTGAGTTCAATATAGCACATATGTATATTAGGCTGGTTCGATTTTGTATGGGGGAAAATAAAAGGCATTTGACCGTTTTGTAATAGTAATATTATGATGTCTTAGGTCTAAGCCAATAGTTATTGGCCACGAAAGATTAATTTAGAACTTATCTTTAGCCCGCGCAATTGAATCAAAGTGTATGAATTTTGAAATTTAAATTTTGGCTTGTAATATATATGGAATGCGTTAATTGTTATAAACAGGACGATATATCAAATTAAGGGTTATTAAGTTTTATACCTCAGGTTCATTTATTATTTTTCAATAAGTCTGCAAGTTTTTAAGAAATTAAAATAAAACTTACAAAAACTATAAATTTTCCCTTATAAATTTTCAATTCTACATTACTTCAGCAATCAAGTGAAAAATACAAAAAAGTCTGACGAGATTTATTTCAAACGATCTAATGTTTTGGGATGTTTATATAATATTAAAAGGACCATGGACTTGGTCACGCCGAGTTGGTCTGTTTTCAAGATGGTGGTGAACGAAGTCAAACATGTGTTGTCAAAGATTAGGAATTGTTTGATAAGTTAATAGTAGTTTCAAGCATATAAGTATTTTGATACATTAACATAATACAATTAGGGTGAGAAGCACCCATTTTAACTCCATTTATGCAGTCTTTAAAATTGATGCGGATGTCACCGAAGAAGCACATTTTGCGAGGTTTCTAAATTTGCCGTTATATGAAAGTAATGGACGTGCAATAAGTGTTTAGTTAATTCCATTATGTGAAAAAGTGACTGTATATAAATGCAATAGTCTTTAACATATCCTGGGAAATCCTTTTGAGGACTCGCCAATTGGACGATATTGCTTTGCAGTCAGCTGGAACGAAAAAAGTCACTCCCTGGCACACTTTTCTGTAATCCGGTTCATTTATTTAAAAGTTATTTATACAATTGAAGAGAAATTTTTTTTAGAAAAAAACCCGGGGATCCACTTGAGTTTTTCGATATAACTTTGGTAAATGTCACTCGATCGGTACGTAATAATTACCAAATTGAAGGCAAAACTTACTGTTACTGATTTATGATAATAATATGATGAAAATCGTTCAGATTATAAGCAAATTATTTTAAATGAAAAAAAAATTTTTAACAACATTTTTTGTAATTTTCCAATATTTGCAATTTTTATATTGTATGCATAAACATAAGTAAACTAATTAGTGTTTCTAGAAGTTGTGCCTGTTCAGTGTTTCCATAATCATTTGCATAAACAAAATTTTTCCACGATGATGGAAAATAATGGCTTTTCTATTAGAACTACCGAAATTGTTCCTAAATATGCAAAAATTCGCAAACTATAGCAAATATTAAAAAAAGATTAGAATATTTGGAACCAGCGACCTAAATGCAGCCCAGCAATATTAATGCTGTTCTTTACATATTTTGACTATAGGCTAGTGCAATTATCAAGTGAACAATTAAAATTTTATTGGAAGAAGATAACTTTGAAATTAACGATAAGCTAAAGGGATGCGGGGAAATGATATTTGACTTTATCTTTTCCATTAACTGATTCATTATCTAATAATATGAAACAAAACTTTGTGCTGAACCCAAAATTTTTAACAATAATTGGTCTTATTCGACTACATAGCGTGTTATGGGTCACTTGGCGGTCGATGCGCGGGCTCTTACAACTAAAATAAAAGACTACTATTTTGCAGGCTTGTTGTTGACTCATGATACAATATATTTTCACTATTACCAAGGGATTTGAGAAAAATTTGCTTTTCGACCCGCCCTAATGTACTTACATATATAAGTATGTACATATATATTTATTCATGTAAATATTACTACGAATGTTCATAAAATAGTTTAGCAAACGCCAATGCCAAACTAATGGCAGCGGAAGCGCCAAAAATGACAAAAACGGCGAACAATGGAACAAAAGTGTTTTAAACAAGTAAGAAAGTCTAAGTTCGGGCGGAGCCGAACATTAAATACCCGGCGCAAGTATTAAATATATGTTTGTATCTTGCTAACCCCTGCACCAATTTCTTCCAAACTTGGCACAGTGGCCTTAGTACGGCATACCAAATGACCGACAATTTTTAAAATCGGACAATAACCACTTCCACATCCCATATAACGGTAATTTAGAGAAATACGAAATATTCGATAAATCAGTAAATATTAAAGCTAATTTATTCAAAATTGATGCTTAGACCAACTCTTTACCAAGAAATACATTTATGAAAAAATTTTTGAAAATGGGAGTGACACCGCCCACTTATGATCACATATATGTATCTCGGTAATCGTTGTGCCAATTTGTACCACACTCGGTATGATTATTATGCTTACCACATAAAAGCAAAACGTTGAAAATTATTGAAATCGGACTAAAATTACGGCCGCTTTTCATATAACGGTAAATTTGAGAAATGCTTTAAACTTCAATGTTTCCAAATTTAAGGACGCTAATTTACTCAAAATTGACACACCTCGGCCTACCATGTAGCGGTAGCTCTCGGAAAGGTGAAAATCATGTATTTAATACTTGCGCGGGTATTTTATGTTCGGCTTCGCCCGAACTTAGAGTTTCTTACTTGTTATAATATAAATTGAAAATGTTCCCATTTTTGCCAAGAAGTCGTTGTAAATATTACGGAAACTTGTAATTTAAATGAAAAATCTAATTGAATTGCCTTTTATTTGAAATTCATTTTGTTTTAATCGATTATCGAATTCTCCAGGTATTAGAAATTTTTATAATCAACTGTTAACTATAAAAACGACATAAATTCAAAAACCTTTTAATTTAATTTAAAAATTTAAAAACTGTAAAGAGTTGCTGTCTGTTTGAATGATAAATTTCGCGTTTTGTCCACTGTGCGGCGCCGCGTGAAATGAGTAAGAAGGGTGCAAGATTTAGTTTAAGATGATCGAGGAAGAGTATGTATTGTTGGCATATATGTAATACACCTATATTGGCAGTAAGAGCTAGTACCGTCCGAAAACACTACAGTACAGATATATCAAGAAACACGTACGAAAGAAAAGGAACACATACGTTTATAAATAAGCATGTACACGACACATTTACAAAAACGGCACTCAAGTACACAATACATTGACAAAAACAGTACTAGACTGTCTCGCTTTGATTTCGGAATGCTTACACATTGAGATGTTAGCTTACTATCAATATAGAAGTATTACATTAATGATTGTAGGTATATGTAAGTAAGTGAAACGAAAGCATTATTAATAAGAAATGTGTGGCGTTCGTAGCCAGCGAAATGTCCACACAGTGCCTGAAAATATGCACCAGGCAAAAGAACAAAGGAAGGCACAGACTGAATGACTGCCGAACGCAACGAAGTATGTCGAAATTATAATTTCTCTGATATCCGGGAGCGATTCGTTTGGAAATTGAAGTACTCGTATTGGCGTTTTGTTGATGCAAGTTTTAATTTTGCTTAAAGTACTATACATATATTCTGCATGAATCTGTACATAAGTACATACTTAGAATTTACTTCCAAAAATAAAAAAGATGTCTGCGAATTGCAGAAACTTGAGAACAACACCGACATGTTGTTGAGTGCGGAAGCCTCGAAATAAGTTTCATTTAAATAAGCGGTCCTAATAATGCTAGGATAAGCATTTCTAGGATAAGTTCATTATTTTTATACCCGAGCGCACTTGTGCACAGGGTATTATAACTTTGTTCGCATAACGGTTGTTCGTAACAGACTAAAGGAATTGAGATAGATATAGACAAATGTATACATAAATTATCAGAATGAAAAGAGCAGTCGATTAAGCCATGTCTGTCCGTCCGCCCGTCCGTCCGTCTGCCCGTGTACACGATAACTCGAGCAAAAATTGAGATATCTCAACGAAATTTGGTACAGAGGTTGCTCTTTATCCCAGGTAGGCTGCTGTTGAAAAAGGGCGAAATCGTAACAACGCCCCCTTCTCATGTAACAATATTTTCGAAAAATGCAAAGCTATGACATTTCGGTAAATATTGGAACCAAATTGTTCAAAATCAGTACGTGAGGTAGAATTTTTTTGCAAAATAGCATTATTATGAAATTTTTGGAAATGGGGCGTGTTGAAAATTATTCAAATCGGACTAAAATTGCACCGGTTTTCCGTATAGCGGTAATTTTCGGATATACGAAAACTCCGATATTTCAGTAACTGAGGACATTTACTTACTCCAAGTTAACACTTACAACAATCTTTTACCAATAAATAAGACTGTTATAGACTTTTAGGTAGTTTAAAGAAAGTTGGAACGACGATGGTTGATACCTGCGCCGGGTATATAAAATTCGGTTTCGCCCGAACTTATACTTCTTTACGTGTTTATTTTTATTATTCTCTTTTTGTGGAAAAAAACCATAAAGATTCGTTTTGACATCCCACGGTTTTTTTACTCAATGAGATGCTTTCGAACGTGACGTGAGGTTTGTGTGCTTTTCTACTTTTGTGGTTGGCTAGCGCATGCGCCTTAAGACGAAAAAAAAGTAAGTGCGCCTGGGCCACACTGTAGAAGTGAAACTTACGTTACTTATCTATCTATACATACACACATCTGCTTTTGCTTAAGGTTATATTTTTTCGCTTTTTTTCTGTCAATGTTCCACTGTTCGTTTTAATAACATTCATGTTATTCTGTTTTTCCATTATCTTCATTTTTATCATTATACTCTATCGATAACAAAATCGATGACAAATTCGATCGATAATAAAATCGGATAAATATCGATATTAAAATCGATAACAAAATTGATAAATATCGCTACCAAAGTCGTTAAATATCGATAACAAAATCGATAATTATCGATTAAAAAACCGATGAATATCGATAACAAAATCGGTAAATATCGATAACAAATCGATAAATATCGATAACAAAATCGATAATTATCGATTAAAAAACCGATGAATATCGATAACAAAATCGGTAAATATCGATAACAAATC